TTATAATCATTGTTACTACCATCATCATTTCGTTCATTTAATAAATAAATAGGTTTAACAGATCTTGTTCTCAATTGAGAAGGGGCTGAAGGAAGATAGATTACTGAAACAGAACATCTTGTTAATGGATATTGCAGTAAGAGTACCATCAACTCCATTGTTCCTAATCTTCGTGCTATAATATGTTTTCTATATTCATCTTGCTCATCGATATCAAATAATTCTGAAGATTCAGGTTTCGTTATATATTTTGTTATATATTTTGCAAATCCAGTAGATGTGACGTACTGAAAGTTTATGTGTCCACGCCAAATTAACAAAGTTTCTAGATTATATGGAACAACCATTCGATCTTCTTCTTTTATACGTCGATAAAAGTATCGTAATGAATTACCTGAACAATGTGTTGTTTGAGATAAGGGTTGAGGAAAACCTTTGGAACATGGTCCGTCAGTTTGATTTTGTGGTCTGCATCTGTAATTACAATGATGCATTTGAAAAGTTGTTACTAAATGATACAATTCAGGTTCTATATTAGGATCAGGAACATCTGCACGAATTATGTCAAGAGCAATTAATTCTGGAGTTTTTTTTTCTGTATATGTAAAACCATGTGTATGGATTGTTCCTCTGTTTTGAAATTCATCGCGTTCGAAAAAATGCTCCCATTTTCCCCATCTAGCCAGGTTTGGATTTTTCCATAATTTGTTACGAATATTATTAAGGTAATTGCGATAGAACATATATACATGTAGTGGCCGATTTGTTGGTAAAGTATCATTATTATCTGATGTACGCAGAATTTGATGTAAATGTGGCCATTTGTCTTCTGCCATGGTCATTGTATAGAATATTTGTGGTAATCCATATGAATGTATCATGGTATTAACTTGATGTTGTTTTTTTTTAAAGTATGGAGCGGCAGTTCTCAGGTATGAGGGAATGGTTGTAGTTTTTGATTCATCTATAATATTTCGATTATCATATGAACTTTTTATGATAAGATCTGTTACTGTTGGATGATGCTCACGGTTCACTTTTCGAGTAGATAAAAGGCGATATTGATTTTGAAAATTTCTTCTTTTTTCCAAATTCAAATAGGACCAATGTGGCCAATACCAATGAAGCCGGAACCTAGGATCAGGACACAGCATTCTCAGTTTTATATACTTTCCATAACTATCTATAGATGGTTGAAATCTTAGAAGCCGCTTTAAATCCTCATAGTGACCTCGACCTTTAGGAAATAAATCTGGAAACATTAAAGCTTCCAGATCAGGATTATTAAATAAAATAGGAAGATTTTCTTCATCTCTATTTGCTATTAATCCTGCTATCAATCGAGTGTGATGTGCATCTTCATTATGAATTTCTTGTGGAAAGGAATCATTAGGAACAACTAAGTCTGGTGGGCGTGGTGTTTCATTTGGAAGAAAACTGCGTTGAAAGTCAGATGGGGCTTGATGATAATCAATCGATTGTCTTGCTAAAGGTAATGGAATTGGTGTGGGACTTTCAGGTCTTGGAGGTGTAATATTAATATTTGAATGATATTTTTTAATAATATGATTATTTCCTCTCAACCATTCGCAAGCAGGTATTAATGATTCATGAAACCATCTTGGAGGTTCGTGAATATTTAGATATGCACCAATTGTTCCGGAATAAATTTCTAATGATCGGTAATTATGTGTTATATTGATTGAACCTTGCAGATGTCGATAATTAGTATAGTTATTTGTGCCAGGAGTACGACCTAAAGAACATTTCATGTGGACTGGCGAAAGATATCTTCTATGTGTCATTGGAACACTTATGATTTCAGATGGAATATCTGTTAATATTGGTGGATATCGGCGTGTTTTTGAATTTTTGCATCCATTACAAATGGCGACCTGTACAACTCCTCGGTTATTCTCTCGTGTATACACAGGAATATTTGGAAAGGCCAATGTTAATGTATATCGTTCTTCAGAATTATAAGGTAACCATTTGGTATGTTCTTTCATCATTAGAATTGAACAGTAAGCACAGGGAATACTCGGATAATCATTTAATATTTTTGTTTGAAACTGATTTAAGAGACGTTGAAGATTATTTTGATGAGAAAAAGGATTATTACTAATAGGCGATGGAAGAATTACTTCGGATTGATTGCGATCATTGTCCTGGGCAGGTGCATTTGACAAATTTTGGTTTATTTCATTTCTATAGATATAGGGTTCTAGGATAATATCTCTTTGTAAGTTTTGAGAATTTTCTATATTTCGTCGTTGTTTATCATTAGCAAAAGTGATAAGTTGAAATCGCTGAATTTCGTAATTGTTGGACATGATCAATATCAATTTTCAAGAAAAAAAATATAAGATTTGGATTCGGGTCTTATTTATATTAATTCTTTAAGCTATGACATTTTATTTAAAAACAGGTTTGTCAACTGAAATTTACATTTTGCGATATATTTGATTTATATTTATATTATTTATTAAAATTTTTATGATTCCGTCTCGGCAATAGGTTCTCCTTTTTCAATCTCTGCAACGGCCTCCAAGAAATTGACTGCTTGGGATTTGACGTTTTCGGACGTTTTTGATGATGATGAAGATGTTGATACCAGACTAATCTTGCGTTTTTTCTTGGGACTTGCATTCATTTGGAGATATCTTGCTTCGAGGCTTTCAAGTTCTTGCATATTTGTACTGTTTTGATCAGAAACATTTGATGATTGCGAATTGTTTCCAGCGTAATTCCACTCAATTTCTGATGCTATGATGTGTTGCATCGAACTCCCACCGATCTTTAACTTTCCCACTACTGACATTATGGTCTTTTTCAGGTTAGTTTTTATTGAATTATATCGACCATGCACATTGGTATATGACACGATCACTTTTGATTCGATGTTCTTGTGATTATTGACACCATTATACAATCGTTTTGACAACATGAAACTTTCTCTGCCACCATCTATATCAGAAATATACGAATCTGCTACCACGGGTGCTGAATATATCAACACGGAAGCATTTCTGGAAGATTATCTGAGGTGAGCTTTGCTTTACTAGGAATAATAGAGGTCACTGGTATTGCTTGTATCAGAGCGACCTTTTTTTGTTATTATGTAAAATAAGAAATAAAAATAATAATTAGTTATATGCGCAATCTATTTAATATGAAGTATGCCTAATCCAACTTTTTATTATACGTACGTATTCAATTTTTTCCTCATAAACATAACGTCCTACCATCAGAACTATTGTCTCTTTTTCAAATTCTTGAATTAAACTTTCTTCTGATTCGATATAGGCTTTGAAGATGAATTCTCTGAATTCATCTTGAGTATTACTCGATGCTCTATAGAGAGCGGTGCCATTGATAGATCTTTCAGTCCCTGATAGGGTTTTTACGAAGAAAAACGATATGAATATTGATGACATGTTTTTAATCAATAAGGTATATTGTAACAGTCATTTGTGAACTGTCACTATGAAATAACACAATTCGCGCGACTATTAATTATAGTAAGTGTTCTAAAAATGAGTGAGGCGTGTTGATTTTTGGTCGAGAGTTAAATAATAATTTTATTGATCAATTTATTGTCTGTTCTTTATTAACATTACATTCTTTCTTTTTTCTCTTTTTTATACTTTAGTTTTTACATCATTAAGGGTGGCTATGCGATTAGAAAATAATGGTGATTTTTTTATATTACATAATTCTTTTTCACAATCCTTCCCTCCTCCTCTATCATTAGATAATCGTGAAACAGGTTTCTCGCGGTGCCTGTCACAGATATTGGTCACGTGAATAAAGTAGCGTTCCAGTTTTTATTATAATTTATTATAATATATTTATTTTTGTCTAGCTACTCTTAAATGATGGGTATATTTTAGACATTTTTTTTGATCTCACGACGTTTTTTCTCATTCTCTTGGACAATTACTGATTTTTCACCAGTTTTATACTAGTTTTCATCTAATTCTTCTCCTGTTTTTTTTGAAAAAAACCATTGCGATCACTATATTTTGCCCCAAACATTTTTAATTAATCTCATGATAATTCTTCTTATTTTTTTTTCCTTGAGCAATTTGCTACAATAAATCCACCTGCTTTTTTATTTTACATGAAAAAAGGTCATGTCACCTTGAAAAAATCGAATTTTTATTTTAACTATACTTTTTTAAATTAAAAAATATATAAAAAACATTTTTTAATTATTTTATTTTTTAATTCAATGTTCAGTTATTAGCTAAAAAAGAAATCAATTTTCAAATTCTATGCTTTTTGCGCTTCTTGTCAAGCCGAATTTATTATTATTATTTTTTTATATCTCGTTATTATTATTATTTTTTTTAGTAACAAAAATTTAATATTCAGTTTTTTAGCTAAAGAAGAAATCAATTTTCAAATCCTATGCTTTTTGCACTTCTTGCCTAGCCGATTTTTATTTATTTGTATTATTTATATCTAGTAAAATAATTGTTTTTATATTTTTTATTATTATATCTAGTAAAAAAAATGGTAAAGTAATAATAATAATCATGTTGCACAAAACAGTGATCAATTTATTTATTTTTTTTATAAATACAGCTCCTGTTTGGAGCGAAATAAAATGGAGCGACAGCGTAAGCGTAGCATTGCATCGCGTAGCCTGGCAAAGCAACAACAGGCATAGATATAGATATAGATATAGATATAGATATAGATATATAATAATATACAATATATAACACAACGAATTCTGCTTTCCTTTTTTATCCAATTATTCGCCCAAAGTGGATGTTAATCTTGCCCAAAATTAATGAAATCTTCTCAGAAATGCGTAACACAATTTGAAAGCGTTTTATTCTTGTGCTAAATTTCGATATACGTATTAATAAAAAAAAAATGCATACGTATATCTGATATGTAATTTATTGATACGCGTACGCGTCAAACCTTTGATATAAATAGGCGGGTTTTCACGTAAAATCAACCC